TCCTATGAATAGAGTTGGTTTTAACTTTTTTTTAAGAGTAATAAAGCAGGACGGGACGGGACGGGACAGGACAGGAGGGGATATCCATTCCATTCTGCTTTGTTTTTTCCATGGAATTTGTTAATCTTTCCTGGTCTCGTATCATCGAAGTCACGGGCTAAGGGCGCAATATTCAAGAGTCTTTGGTGGCGCTCTTTTCAGCCTACTATTGCACATTCCACTTCTAAGTTCCTCCTCCATGAAGTCACTGGATCCACTATCCAAGCTGCATGAAATCACTTGGAATCCTCGGTAACATTTTTTTTATACCAATTCAATATCACCTATAATATTATGTCAAGTATCCTGTTATTATTTATACTTGTGTTAAATCAAATCAAGTTGAATTATTAGAAAATTAAAATATAAATTATAACAAGACACTTGGCACAATATTATAGATAATATTGAATTGGCATAGAAAAACATGTCATCGAAAATCCCAAGTGACATGAAACGCCTTTTCCTTCGTGGTAGCGTAAAACGGGCAGGAAAGCAACTAGTCATAACACACTCATAAGTCACAATTACCAATTTAACCAGGAACTAGTAGAACCGGTAATAATTAACCAAAAAAAAAAGCACATACTAAACTTCAACATCCTTTACTTACTTGTTAAATTCCATATTCCAAGAATTTTCGTTGCTAGGCAGTACGTAATCGAAAGCTATTACCTGACTCTACTGCAACGAACATTCAAAAGCACCAAGGTATATGTCGCAACGTTGTTGTGTGCGTGTGTTTCTTTGCGCTGTTGAAAGAAAAAAAATTATGCCGCGACGATTGCGTAGTGCACTTGTCTTGACCGATAGGTGATTTAATTCCCTCCGATTTTTTCTTGACCTCTTTGGATTCTCCTCTTCCCATAGTATAGAATAATTGTAGGTTTATCGTATTGAAAAAAAAATCAAGATATATGCCGTAACACTTACAAATCTCCAACTTCAATCAGCGCTCGTGTTATCTACAAAACAAGTCATTCTTGAAAGTTAAACGAAGACTCGGGAATATGTGTGTGTGTGTGTATATATATATATACGCGCGTGCGTGCACACACACTTACACTTTTCAGGTTCTCTCAACTTAATTTTTGCAAGCTAAAATCAGATGTCAAAAGCAATCTTTTGGAAAAGGATTTCCCACCAAAAAATCTATACGGAAAATTTTTCGTGAATATAATTTTTTATTACTTTTTTTATCTCACATATATCAAATCAAATCGTTACAATATATGTTTTTTTTATAAAATTTTCAAAAAATTGCAATCCAAACACGACCTGAGTGTTTTGACCTCAACTTATTCCGAGTGGATAACTTCAAAATAAGGCGGAAAAAAACAACGATAATAATATGTTATTTCAAGACCCTTTAAACGCAAATAATGGGTATTGGCGTAGTTTTTGAGAATGAATGGGAAATGAACAATTTATGAGTGAGATCAAAGTAAACTGGTTAATATGAATGACCTACATGATGTGATCATTAATCGCTTCATTCTACGCTTTGCTCAGGTAGCGCGTAATATGCCGCTTGAGGAAAACTTCGCACAAATCCCTGAATCAAAATTGTGGGAAAGAAAAACTGAGAGAATATGCTCTGCCCCGGGTAAAATTTTTTTTTTTTTTTTTCCAGCTTTAAGTTATACCACAGCCAACAACAACAACATTTACGTTGCTTGAGAAATTGCTCACTTCCACTACTGTTTTTCATTATGGGCAGCACTTTTGTAGTCATCATTGAGATTAAAAAGGCCGATGAAGCACTGGATGATGGTGGATGTGGCGCGTGATCCATCGTTTTTGCATAAAACCACCGCAAGTGCTTTGCGGTTCCAGATCACCATTATTGTGGATAAACATCAAGGATGGCTCTTGCAAAACTGCACGTTCTTGGAATCTTAAATTATTATTAATTTATCTATACCTGAAAGATAACGCCAATTACTGGCCAAGGTGCCTGAAGGATGATGCTTCCTGCCTACTTCATACTTTTACATTCATATTTTTTTTTTATCAATATTTCTTTTAGAATGGATTAAAGAGGATACATGCCGATTAAAAATGCTGGATTAATTTGAAAACACCTGCTTTATCGATAATGACAAAAGGGCTTGCCCATATTATAATCTGCTAATCAGGGATGTCAAAATATCGCACAATAATTAATCTTCTTTATCTTGCATTTACGAATAAACTGCGGAGCATGGAAAACAGGTTTAAAGAATGAAGTAAGTCGCTAAATCATTTTAGTTGCATAAGGCGTGACGCAGGAAGGGGGAACATATTTTATTCGCAACCCAGTCGGTAATAGCCCATAAATGTCTTGATTAACTGACGTGTAAAACTCGTTTGGCTGGCAATAAACGATTCTTTTTATGTCGGTCTTTGAGATGGATGAAGATCCTCGGGACACATGACCAGATCTGGTTTTGTTGGTGCGTGCAAGTTGAAGCTCCATTAGTGTGGGTTTCTATTCATCAGACCCTTTTTCTGGAAAGCAGAAAGGCACCAAAGAAAGCGAAAACAATAATAATTAATATTAATATCTTCTCCGCCGCAAATTTAATAAGAAAAAGAAAAACAACGTTTTAAAGAAGCACAAGAGAGAGTGCAACCGTTGTGCGCTTTAAAGCGAGCATCGAATACTTTGGTAAGAAAAAAAAACTTGCACAGTGTGTTTGGATTACTAAAATTGTTCTAAATTATTTTACTTGCATTGCATATACAACGTTTTACTTTTTCAATTATTTTTTATCTCGCATACATTGAATATCATCAAAAGTGTTACAATAATTATTTCAAATAATCTCCTTGAAAATTCAAGAAGAGAGAAGTTAGGACCATCAGGTTGTAATTCCGCTAGATTCATGGTGTAAATGCCATACTTATCCGTTACTAGTTGTTAGAAATGGATCAACAAAGTAGATGTCTATATCTTCCTGTCAATTCAGGTTCGAATCTCTATTGAAACATTTGGTCGTCGTACAAGGCTTGTCTAGTGCTTCTTATCCTTCTTATGGCTGGGGAGCTATCGCACAGGGTGAGGATTATCTAATGCGCACTCTCGGATAGTGGCCGTAGGTTCTCTTATCAACAAAAAAAAAAAAAAAAAAAAAATAGATTCAATAAGCATTGCTTGGATTGCCGGTTTCTGTGGAGCAAATTTATTGTGGCTCTTTTAGAAATATTCACTCCACATATTTTTTCATTCACTATTAATTCTACTTGATATACATCTAAAATGTTATTGTTCTATAAAAACTCTCAGAAACGTCCAAAAAGTGCAACTCAAATGGATTTTAAGATTTAATGTAGTATATGCATAGAACAACAACTTTGATACAATATATCAAAATTTAAATTGAAATTTACGACGGACCAAATGCATATACCAAAAAATCATATAAGTAATCCCTCACATATAAACTTTGTACTTTTTACATTCCGCACATATGATTTTTCATCCTCCCATATTGTTTAGTACCTTTCGTGTCCCTTTGATGTGAAATGGTGAGTTTTCATCTCTTACAAATGAAAAAAAGTACTTATATTTTTAGTCACTCGACTCATCTCTATTTATATTCTTGTCAGAAAAAAAAATCATGTGCAGTTCAGTCTCACGATTTTTATGAGAAAAATTGAAATATCGTAAGTAAAAGGGAAAAAATGTCTCTCCCATGTTTGTAGCCAATAATGCAGCAGCAGCCCTGCTTACCTCCGCCAGTTGTGCTAATGGTATCACCGTCTACTGCCTACCATTTTTGGTCACAAAAATTTAACTCCTCACTCAAATTTTCATGTAGAAATCGATCTCGATATTATCCTTTGCAAAAAATGAACAAATGTGGGTGAAAAAATAGAAAAAAAAAATTGGCTGGTCGAATATGAGTAGGAAGTTGAGTGTTCGTGAAATTTAGTGGCCTAAACCGGTGATGGGCTATGGTGACACTGCCAGCATGGCTAAAGGTAGCCACGATTGTTGCTACATTCTTGGCTAGGAAAATAGGATGAGGAACAAAGAAATGTGAGGGATGTTTTTTCCCTTATTCCTTGCAATCTTCCAATTTTGTTCCAAAAGTTTATGAAGCATGAGACGTACGTGATTTTTTTTTTTCAACAAAAAATGTGAGTAGAAAGAAGATGAGGGGCTAAAAATGTGTATTTTTCATTTGTGAGGGACAAAAAATTATCATTTCATATATGACAGACGTAAGAAATGAAAATTCATTATTTCATATGCAAGCGGCATTAAAAAAAAAAAAAAGAACAAACTTATATCTGTTGATTATTTGTAATGATTTTCCCTCCATAGCGCATATCTATACTATATATAAAGGCGGAGAAAGGAATTTGGAGTTAAAATTTATCTATACCATATATAAAGTCTTAGGGAGGGATTTGGGATTAACATTGAGATTAACTACTTATAAGTATCATGATTATTTTTATTTTTAACTATTTAAATATATATTTTCAACATAACTATTCCTACAAACATTATAACTATCAATATAAAATTATTTTATAAATAATATTTAAAAGATTAAAATTTACTTTAGTAATAAAAATTTTATTTAAAATATATAAATATAAATATTATGTACAATTTTTTGATTGCACAAACAAACAATGGGTGTGCACTGAGGACTAGTTAGCATAGTGCTGCTTAAGTGTTGGTGAGTCATGCTAGTGTCGTCGACTGACGTCACTCAGTGTGGATTCCTTATCATCCACGTGATGCAAAACACGCTGCCATCAACTTGCCCACTTGCGCTATAATGAAGTTTCAACGAACCTCCTCAGAGAAAACCTTTTTTTTTTTTTTTTTTTTTTTAAATAAGGAATCACAAAAAGACAAAATATATCTGCTTGTGCTAATCCACAAAAATCAATTCCCACAAGGTTCATGCATCTGTTTCTCTCTCCTCCCCACTATACTACTTCTATAAAACCCCCCTCCTCCCTTCCTTCCCAGAAGTTCAAATTTTCCTTTTCTCCTCACTCCTCCCTTCTTCTCTTTGTTCCAGTACCGCGCTAGTATAACTTTGTGAAATAATAATAAAGAGCTCGCGCAAAAGCTACTTCATTTAGTATTTGTTTGGATTATTGGAAATAGTAAGAACCCATAATTTATTGGAGTACCATGTACCATCCGATATCCGCTGAACTCCCACCGGCGAATAGTTCCGGTGAATTTCCGGCTTATCGAGGGAGCTGCAGCTTCAGTAGCCTTGTGCCCTGCTTAACCGAAACCTGGGGCGACTTGCCTCTTAAGGTCGACGACCCGGAAGACATGGTAATTTACTGGATTTTACGGGACGCCGTTAACGTTGGATGGAGCCCGTTTAATTTGACAGCTTCTAGTGACGTCAGCGTTGACGTTAGAGTTAAAGCTGAGCCGAGTGATGCGACGGAGCCGGCTACCACTTCGCCTGCTGCTGATCACTGTTCGGCTCCGCCTCCTGCGGCCGCCGGAGCGGCGCAACCGAAAGGTAGGCATTTCAGGGGCGTGAGGCAACGGCCGTGGGGAAAGTTCGCGGCTGAGATCAGGGACCCGTCTAAGAATGGCGCCAGGGTTTGGCTTGGTACTTATGAGACGGCTGAGGAAGCGGCGTTGGCTTACGACAGAGCGGCTTATAGGATGAGGGGTTCAAAGGCTCTATTGAATTTCCCTCACAGAGTTGGCTTGAACGAGCCGGAACCGGTTAGGGTGACAGCTAAGAGAAGGTCGCCTGAGCAGGCTGCCTCATCATCGTCATCTGTTTCATCGGCTTCGGAAAGCGGCTCCCCCTCGCCATCGCCCAAGCGGAGGAGGAAAGTTGTTGCGGCTGAACTTTCAGCCGAGCCCGAGCCCGAAGTTGAGAGCCAATCGAATGCGTATCGAGTAAATTGTCAAAAGACGCATGTGCCAGTTGGCGAGCAGCTACTGGTAAGCTGAATTTGAGTTGTACTTCGTGGAAAGTTTAAAAAAAAAAAAAACAAAAAACCAAAAAAATAAAAAATAAAAAAAAGTTAGGGCTTGCTTTGTTATGTGTGAATATTAAATTTTTCCCCGTTTCTTTTTTGAGTTTTTTGCTTGGCCCTTTTAAATTCCCAGGGGCCGTGTAAACAATTGAAGCTCAAGCATTGGTGAAATACTGAAATGTAACGACGTATTTCCATTCCTCCAATATGCCACCTCTCTCCTCTTGACAGATTATTGTTACTTAATAACACTACTACTAATTCACTTGCAGTGTCTCATTTTGCTTCACCAAAACGAGTAATTTAACTAATAACTGTTTTGAACCCACCCCCAAAAAAAGAAAAAAGAAAAAAGAAAGGACTGTCCAAATCCAGTTTTTCTTTTGGGCCAATTCCGTTGCCAGTCCGTAATACGTTGTGTTCTTTCTGGGCTCTCGGTGCAGCAGTGCCGGCCAGAGCCCAGTAACTTTTAAAACCCTTTTTTTTTTCCAATTCCAAAAGAACATGAAGATAGTTACAGGCAGGTGATATGAATCAACATCGCATGGTATGTCGGTGGCATTGGCTGTCGCCTTGTAATATCGTGAACTTTCTATCCTCCTGAACTTTTTACTGAGTCATCAAGAATCATAATCGCACATTCTTAATCCTAATTCCTACGATTGCAGAGTTCTACTGTTTTGTCTCCTCACACTTGAAGCGTACCGTCTCAAAGCAAATATGACGTGGTCTAGAATCATGCGCAAGGGCGGCCATATTCTCGTCTGCTTTTTGCGAGTTGACACGCGCACACGTGTAGCGCAGGAAAACCGCGACCTGATACGCCCACCCATAACCTACAACGAACAGAATGAAAGAGCAAACACACAGGCATTTGGATCAATTGGCGTAGCGGAATGAAAGGCTGCGCTGTCTTGTAGGCTCTAACAAAATGAACATTCAGTAAATTTGTTGCTAAAATTGTTGATCAGTTTGATGACATTAAAGAGTCATCTCAAGGAGATGTTAATATAATGGTTAAGGTTAAAATTCTAAAAGTTAGAGGTCCTGATTCAATTCCGCTCCAGCTCCCTCTACTTTCTAATTTTGTGCATACACTTTCATAAGGGTGAAAGTATATATATATCGTTTGTATAAATAAGATTTGCTCTTATAATCAATTTATAATGATATGATCAATATCAATAGTTTACAACATAACATTTTAGCAATATTGCAATCTAATCCACAATTAGTATGATGCCGATAAGGCCAAGGTTTATAAAGTCAAGGTCTAATTTTCTTTTCGTTTGTTTTTTTTTCCTTTTATGTTTAATAAAGTCTCGCTAGGGTATTCTAGTGAAAGTTTTGTCTCTCTGAGCGTTTTACTAATGAGAGTTTTTTTTTTCTCTCTCTTAGACTATTTTAGTGGGAATTTTATTTAATTTTTACTATTTTTTCCTTAAAGAGTTTTTCAAATATATATGCTAGGTCTGAAATTTCTTAAATCTTCTCGTTAGTTTTCAATATCAAATTTGAACTTGAACTGTTTGGATAGCGAATTTGAGGGAATAGACATGCACAAAAATTTATGGAGTAGTATGTGCAATTGGTTGGGTATTATGTTTTATGATCCAGAGTGTAATCATTTATATTTTGTAACTGTTAAATCTAATAAATTTTCTAATAAAATATATTTGTAACATGTTCTATGTATTTTCTGTCATTAGTGTAGCGTTCTTTGTCAGTGCTAACGATTTCTAATTGGTTTATTAATAATATTGACTTTTGTTCTATATAAAAAAAAAAAAAGATGTTTGACACACGTTTAATAACAAAAAATTGAACGTTTGAATTAATTAAGTGACGTTAAATTTTCTAGGCTAAACTTGCTCCAAAAATAAATGATAAACTATTCACTTAATGTGATATACATTCAAATGTATCATATTTGGTATTTAACAATTCAATAAGTTAATGGATTCAAATTTAAGATTTTAGTTTTCAAATTTTAATTTTATCAAATGCAACCTAAGATATGTAGGTAGGCTATGTCACTATAACTCACATTTAATGAGGTTAACTTTGAAACCTCTATTTTTTACAATAACTTGACTGAGGCCTTTCTGGCATATAATTGATAAAAGTATAGGATCAATTTTTTATATATTAACAATGTATACACTATCACTACTAAATACATGATAACTTGTAATCCAAATTGTGCATATGTATCTTGAATCAAATCGTGATATTGTGTATACTGTTAATGTACATACATACATACATACATATATATATATATATATATATATATATATATATATAATATTAACTCATAAGTATATATTACGATTACATTTATTCTGAAGTTTTGACTGAGCTCTTGACCTTTAACTTAACCATATCTACCCGACTTCTTATGAATTTTTGTATATTTGCTAATTTTAGTTTCCGCTTTGGGTTCCTTATTTTGAATGAAATTATTGTTATTTATCAACAATAAATAGGTATAAACAATTGATTTTACAATTGACACATTTTCCAAACAAAATTCATTCCATTTTGGATATGTAAGTTTTCTAACTTGTTAGTTTATGTTTAATACAAACGGAATGTGAATTTCCTTACAGGTGATATCAGGATTTTGGACCTTGAACTCTTTCAAAAAAAAAAAAAGTACAGATAAAATTGAACCTTACTATTACATTGCATATGTAGTGATTTTTTTTTTTTTTGTATGAGTTCGCCTCCGGTTACCACCACAGATTAGAGCATTTTTTCGAAACTATAGGTCGTATATAGAGATTCTTATAAATCACTTACCAATACAACCTTCCTATTAGCAGATGGATTCAAACATACGACATTTTGTGAAGAAGTGATCCGTCCTTATTAATTGAACCAACTTATATTAGCCATATATGGTGATTCAATATTCAGTAGTAAACATTTAAGCTGTGACTTTTCGTTATTTTAAATTCCAAAGTCAAGCTTTTGCATTCCGAAATCACATAGGCCTGAGGAAATTTGTCAATCTGTATTATAATTTATATATGATTCCGTATTCATTCATCTTCTTCCCCTTGATTGGTAATGAGGTACTTTGACTAACTCGTTGCTAACTCATCACGTAAATAATCATTGAAAATGTGGACAATCAGCAAAGACCGACACTCCGCCATCATATGATTGCGTCAAATTGAAGTTATAAATTACAGTTATTCGAAAACCAGAAGATTTCAGTCGGTGAAGGGCGTTAAAACTTCAAGTCCCACCTGTCACCAATATGAGGACTGTTGGTGATATGGTACTGTTTGCAACCAAAATTTCCGTGCTTGTACTCTTGTCCTGCCAAAAGTTATCGCCTTTTTCGGATTCTCCCGCAGGATTAGCTTAGATATTAAGTTTATCGATTTCAGTGAAAAGTACTCGTGTCTTTCCAAAAGAGTAGAAAAAAGTACGAACGCATAATATACAAAAATTCAATATTATATATCATAATAATGTATATGCTATTACTATTTGATGCATAACATATGTAAAATTTACATTTTAAATTTAAATTTAGATTATTGATCATGTATTCAAATTTAATAATTTATACACTGTCACTGTCAGTATATAGAAAATCAATTCTATGCATATATCTATTTATAATTCTTTTTAAGTAAATATTTTTGATACAGTCAATATAAACCCCCTCTACATTGACCGTTCACCATTTTATGCCACATCATCAATGAAACTTAGTAACCTATTGCAAGCTTTAATCACCGTAAAATTATCAAAAGGATATAATTATCTATCAAATAAAATTTCCTTGAACCCGTTAAACAAATTACAGAGTTTTATATCGATACAATCCCTTAGTGAGATTTATATCAATTAATCTCTCATGCCCATCAAGCAATGTTCTTCAACCACGCGAGAAACTAACACTCTTTTTCTTCCATATCTCTTGATAATATGGCACAGAATTGCAGCAAACTCCAGCAACGCAACACAGGCATGTTTTAGTATAAGTACTAACAAAGTAGCTCCTTCAATGCTGTCAAGCGGTTGTTTCATTCTTCTTCAATTTATTCTGATATATTTCTTTTGGTTGGCGTCAGGCATTTCCCTAATATATGGTTGTTAGGACCAATTTTTTGATAATCGAACTGACCACCGGTTGAACCGTGAACCAATTATGCTTTGAGTCCGATTCAATGATTAACTCAACAATTCAATTGAATCAATCAAATTCGATCAAAAATCCAATGAACCGACAAAAATCGGAAGGTTCAACCGATTTTCACTAATTCTTTTATTTTCTAAAATAAATATCTCGGTTTATTCAAAATTTTAATGCTAAAATAAATTAAAAAAAATAATTAAATCTTTGAATTGGAATCCGATTGAACCACGAATCAGAAGCTCGTTCGGTTCACTCTTCGCTCTAAATTTAGAAACATTGGTTGTGACTTCGAAATTTCATGTGAGAAGAGTCAAAAGAATTTGAAGGTTGCGCTAACAAACAAGTTCAGCCAGTGGACAAACTTGATTCAAGGTGGGAAGTGATTTTCATCCCTGTCGGTTATGAGATGATGGGCTGAAATTGAGGCGGTAAGACTTTCGTTTCTATTGGTCATTGACCGAGGGATATTCTCTTCCAATGTTAAAGTCTTTCATTTTTAATAATGGGCAAAGCTTGTGAAAAGGCTACAACAGGTTATGAGGTTTATTGTTGATTTGGCACAAAAGGGTGAGTCATAGGGTAAGGGTCTTTTTGTTTGAATTGAAAATATTTTCCAGATTTTCTGGTGTTTGGCAGTAGAAGACGTTAGGCAAATATTTTCCAGTGTAAAATGTTTTACACTACAGGACGTAAAATGACTTACGGAGCGGACATACGGAAGTTGATTTCCATCAAACTCATGAAGCTTATCAACCATTTCAGGGCTTACTTATTAAGATACTCATAACAAATATTAAATACCAATACTGAGACCATTAATAAAAATCCATCCTTGCGCCTGCTACGAAAAACCCCACTGTCTACCACTTTTCCCTCATCCTCATCTTTGCCAACCCTACTCCTTTCCTCCCATGCCAGCATAAACAATGCATCCATGGAGATGTAGAAAATCTATACCAAGAGAGGTCTTGATAAGTTTTTGGGTGAGAGAAATCTGGAAAAGTGAAGGAGACAGAGTGGAGGAAGACTTTTGTGCAGAAAAGTTTGCAACAAAATTCAAGAGCTGCTTTTCCATATGATGGTTGATCAATTATAAGGTTTTAATTACAGAAGTAATTTTTATTGACATATTATTAATTTGAATCTTCATTGGTATGATGTGTAATTGGTTTGAGAAATTATGAATTCCTTTATGGAGTTTGACAGATTTGGAAATTGGATGAATCTCTGGTTGGGATGGTAGATCCAATGTACATGCGATGACGGTAGTTGGAGGGATTCTACTGGGGAATCTTCTTCTTGTAGGTTTTAGTTTTGTGGTGCATTTTCATAAAATTGCACCAAACACCTGAAAATAAAGGAAAATGAAAATTTTTTCAGGAAAATTATTTTCATTGAAAATGTTCTCCTTAGGAAAAAATTTTACATTGAAACAAACGGACCCTAAATCTTTTCTACACGTGATTTTACGCTCACGTGTAGAAATGATTTACTTTATCTTTTCCTTTGAAAATTTGCTTGAACGGTCTTAAAGTCTTCTAAAAAAATTTCAATCTAGTCCCTATAGTTGTAACTAGATCTCAATTTGTTGCGTTTTCCTTATACAATTAAGTTTATTAGAGAGTCAAAATTATAAACTTTCAAGGAACGTAATGAAGCAGTATGGGTAGAAGCGTTTTGTAAGCATCCTTCATCGGTCGTTGCATTGCATTACTCAGCTCATCTTCATTAGAAAATAAGAATTACCGACTTCTAATTTCTGTCTTTCTCATTAAGCTTTGACGGGTATTTAGAGCGTGCCATTCAAAATAGGTTAGTTGCAATTTGCCGATGAAACATTGGTCTAATAATCAGGTTAAGATCTCACGTATTAGAGGTCTTGAGCACAGATTCCTCTATCCCCTCGACTCTTCTGAAGTCCCGCTCCTTTCATACTGAAAAAAAAAAAAGAAGAAAGGTTAACTGCAATTTATGTAAATTAAAAGGCTAATGTGGTATGCTAACTCAAAATTTTCCATCCAAAGTATGAAATTAAAAAAAAAGAAGGATTAATCAACAAATTCTGAAATTGTTTAAAATGGAATTTCTTAAAGTTTTAGATATTGTGGTCGCAGTGCAATGGAAGGCATTTAAAGGGCACACAACTGCGACATGAAACGTCCAGGTTCGGATAATCGTGTCAGCAGCAATATGGTGGGGTTCAAACTTCAAAGTCTGGTGGTTGAAGTTTACGGGCATCCATCCATCACCCCAGTCTTAATACATGGTCAAGTCTGCCTCTTCTAATCCATTTGCTAAGAAGGAATTATTCCACTTGAAAGAAGTTAACTGAGAGGAATATCCTTCCACAATCTGCTTTCACACTCGCTGAACAAAAGAAAATCATTACATGCTTTATTTTTCTAGCAAAATAACTTTAATTTATCTATTCTAATGTCGCAGCTACAAAGATACTGCCCTTCTCTTTATTTTCTTATTATAAAATACTACTAGTATTGGTCAATTAATGCTTTTGCACTTCAAAAACTCCCAAAGTCACTCTTTTAGCTGAAAATGGGGAGAAAAAAAAAAAAAAAGAGTGCACAAAAGTAGTCAGTAGGTCTAGTCTTCTAGCCACAAAGTAATTTTCGTGCCAAGTGAAAGGATTAGAATTCGAGATCTCTTATCTACTCTTCCTTCGTCCCTCCCAAACTATCTAACCAGTTCCTCGTCCTCTTACAAGCGCTTGTAACGGAACATTCTCTTCTAGCATGTCCGAATGGGAATAGCTAGCTAACCTGTATTTCCAAGTTTTCGACTGCCTTCCAATTCATCCGAAGACTGAGGCAACCATCAACGTCGAAGATGGCTGTTATTTGTGCTCCAGTCGTTTTATTGGCGGAAAATGAGTAATCTATCCAACGCAGGTAGGTGGAGAAAATTTTCACACCCTTGTCCGTGGATTTTTTTCTCGGGAATTTGTTGTTGCCAGATGACCTTAGATAGAGACAAATGTGAATCCGACTCCAAGTTGATTAAATTTTTCCACGAGGTAAGCAAACAGATGCAATTATCAAAAGCTTTGACATATACTACTATTATTGTTCCCTTCCCAAAAAAGGGACAGCAGACAAAAGCATTAAATACAGTCTCACCCACATTGATTTAGCGGATCAGGTTGCTTAAAAAGCATTTGATTAGCTAAGTTTGTCAAGCGAGTTACATTAATTTAGCTTTTCTCTTAAAAGCATTTGTCAACGATTTCATGCGACTTTGTGGATTGAATCTTTTTTTTTTTGTTTTTGAAAACAGAGAACATCATAATCATACAATTTGTCAACCCTTTTTTTTCCAATTTGTGGGTTTTGAAGTCTAGAAAAGGGAAAAGGGAGAAGGGAGAAGGGAGAAGGGAAAGGGAGGGCGTTCGAGAGTCAAAACCAATACTAATTTAGTTGGGGCTCAGGAACATAAAATAGTCGCACAAGACTGGAGACGGCCCTGCCATTTAATGTTGGGCCAGAGTCTATTTTACCGTTTGACTGGGCCTCGTTGTGGACTGTAACAAAAGGTTCGTGGATCTGTATTGGGAGAACTATTAGGCCTCGACTTATTGGGTGGGTTTCATTGCAAGGTATCCTCCATCCTACAACAGTCCAACGGACGCGCACTCGCGAGTTTGAAGCTCCAGAAGAAACCCGTGCACTCAAGCACACTGAATCGCCTAAGCCTAGAAAGTAGAAAGTAGAATGCCCTCGGCTCGGGCTTTCTCCGTTTCTTGACCGCCCGTCCGTTCTGGCTTCTTTCTGGACACCGAAAACAGCTGCAGATACGAGTACAACCAAAAAATGCCGCGTCTTTAAACAACGCCATCTTTCCTGCATGCAGCCCCCTGCATGTCAAGCTCTCCAACACGTGCCAACTCCCCGCTCAACACGTATCCCCACCACCTCCTCGATCGTCCCCTTCTTTCTATATTAGCCCCCACCATCCCCTCTCCTTTCTCACCCCCAGCACACAACAAAAACTTCAATTCCCACCATCCGCTTGTCCCTTCGCCTTAGGAATCCTCCTCCTCTTCCTCCTCAATGGCGGACATTCGTCAGCAGCAGCCGCTATCCCACCAGGTGGTCAAGGCGGCCACCGCGGTGACGGCTGGTGGGTCGCTTCTGGTTCTTTCGGGCCTGATCCTAGCTGGGACTGTGATTGCACTAGCTCTGGCCACGCCTTTGCTGGTGATTTTCAGCCCGGTGCTGGTCCCCGCGGGGATCACGGTGTTTCTGCTGGTCACCGGGTTCCTGTCTTCGGGAGGGTTTGGGGTGGCAGCGTTGAGCGTGCTGTCCTGGATTTACAGGTACGTGACGGGGAAGAACCCGCCGGGAGCGGACCAGCTGGACCGGGCAAGGCAAAAGCTGGCTCTTAAGGCTAGGGAGATGAAGGACAGGGCTGAGCAGTATGGGCAGCAGAACATACCTGCCGGTTCCCAGCAGCACTAGATTTGATAATTTAAGCCAATGATCAGCTCCAATTCCAGTGGTGTGGATAGGTGGAATTGTCATGTAGCTGGCTAGTTTTATCCTAAGTCAGGAGATCATAGACGGTCGATCCTGTGGGTTGTGGTATTCATGCATTATTGTCTTTCGTTAATTTCTTCGAATTTGTAATGTCTGGGATGAGTTTCCATCGCTTTTTATATATATATATATACTAGGTAATGACTTCCCACGCAAGGCGTGGAAACTTTAGACTTGTTAATAAGATTTCATTTGTTATTGTAAATATTTTTTAATGGTTGATACGATGCTATATATAATTCAAAAGAATAAAGTCATTGGAGTATTATACAAGAATTGTTTGGTAGTCGCTCAAAAGAAAGAGCCAAGTATACCATTTACGTATACATAAAAGTTGTCTGATATATTAAAACAGGAGAGCCTGAACATCAAATTGAGACAGAACAGATTTATCACCATTTTTCATGTGCACAACAAATTCCAGAAGTTCTTCTGATGCCCATTCAGTCTTGCCTGGTGAAGAAATGTCTTCACCACCTCCTCTGACAACCGCGCCAGCACATTCCTCTTCATTAGCAACAGATCTTAACCTCACCATAAAATTCACTAAAAGAGACACCAAATAGCCCCACCATATCATGAGCAACGTTTAATCAAAAGATTCACAATTTTACAGCAAGACAATTTTTAAGACCTAAACCAAACAATCCAATTTTGCTTGGAAAACCAGACATGAAAAGCAAACATTAATCTGTTAAAGATGCAATAGTCCCTACAGACCATGCGTTCATTATTTATCATCGTTAATTAAACCGTCCATTAATTACAACTTACCCCCCTAAATCCTAATGCCCTGACCAAATTACGGTCTCTTCAAGTTTTACTCACATTCAAATGTTTGGTTTTTTTTTTTTTTTTTAATTGTTGATATGAAATATGCGCCTTCTTTGGATTGAAATCCTTAAAGCATTGTTGCGCATTCTGCCGCTTGTTATCATCTAGAAAAGGCTGTTGGTGTCGGTGTCGGTGAATTCTGGGAGGCTTTCTGGGGTCAGGCTCATTTTGGAATAGGAGGACATTTTTTTATATGCTGTAAAACGGGTATTTCGTTTCTGTGGGTATGTAATTTTTCCGAAGTCACTTACGGTATATGTAGAAGAAAGTAGAATGACGAATTAAAGTGGAGTTCCAATGGCCGCAAGGCTGAGAAAAGGTGGTGATGTATAGATAGAACGTACGTGAAACGACAAACAATTACACGAGACCGTCTTAAGAATCAATCACACGTCACTAATAACATGGAACTATATAGCAGTTAATAGTGTATTCGATTGTTGTGCTACCAAATACTACCCTGAAGAATAATAAATTATTAGACGACGTCAAGATGATTGAACACTGAAGAATTCAGCTTGATTGTTGCAACTCCACTTGTCTCTGTCTATTTCTCGTCCAGGCAATTTTAACTGTGGCCTGACATTCTTGCACATCATCACCAATCGGCATTAAATTGAATACCAATTTGAGTTGAAAAATTAGACACCAGTTATTATTAGAGTTGAAAAATGGCAGAAGATTTCAGTAATTGGGTTCTACTACTACCTCTGAAGCCTAATTCTTTTTTTTTTTTTTTTTGTCCAAAAGAACGGCATCATTCTATTAATAAACGTAAACCTTTACATAAAGGATGGGCAACTGCCTTTAATATCTGCTTGCGCCAGCGCAGGCAGCCAATCTGGGAAGATATCCTTCCATTCAGTTTGTTCTTTCAAGCTAATTACCAATTTGGCAAGTTTATGGCTAACAAAGTTGTTTACTCTTCGAGTAAAAGTAAAACAACAATCATAAAATTTTGTTCTAAGTTCCTTGATATCATATAACACCACTGAGCCTATCCCATTGGTTTGCTCCTTGTTAATCTCTTCCACCACCTGTAAGCAGTTCGATTCAAACATCACCTTCGTCCATCCTTGTTGTTTTGCCAGCAACATGGCTGCTCGTAACGCCATTGATTCTTCCAGTTTTGGAGTTGAGCAGCTAAGGTTTGGTATTGCCCAGGCTTTCAGAACTTTTCCTTGCCAGTCCCTTGCAACCATTCCCCACCCCGCCAATCCTTCCTTCTGCTGTAATGTAGCATCTGTATTTATCTTGACCCAACTCTCCTAAGGTAGCCTCTACCCCTTCGACACCTCAGCTTCATACTTACTACTTCCTTGAACTTCCAACTCCCCTTCTTGAGCGTCCTGAAATTCCCTCCATTCCCCCATTGCCTTACTCACTGCTACTAACGGATTTCTGTCATGACCATTAAACTGTTTCTCATTCCTTGATTTCCAGATTTGTCACAGTAAATTGACCGTCAGTATAATACATTCTCTTCCCTTCTCCTGACTCACAGGTCCCTCTAGTTCTTCCCACAATGACCAAAATTTACTTCTGTGTTCCTCCAATCCTTCCCAACTCACTGGGGCAACTTTCCATATATTCATTGCATTTCTACAGAAAAACAACATATGCCATATGGTTTCTACATTCTCCCTACACCCCTTACACATATGATCCCCTTTCAGGCTCCTGTCCTTAATTACTGCATTCACAGGTAAAATGTCTTGCAGACATTTCCAGACAAAATGCTTCAACTTGTATTTCATATTCAGCCCCCAGAGGAAGTTCCAGTTCTGTGTTGCCCCTTCTTTCCTGCAACTAGTTCCTGCCTCTTGCTCTCCTTGCTTCCCCCTCCTTATATTGCTCTTAGCCAAATTGTATCCAGACTTTACTGTATAGACCCCAGTGGTTGAGAATGCCCAATACAACCTGTCTTTCCTAGGCTCCAAACTGAGTGGAATTCCCATAATTTTCCTTCCTTCATCCTGATAAAAAATCTGCTTAATCAAATCTCTGTCCCATTCCCCATCTTTGATAAGCTCACTCACTCTCTGCACCTCTACCCCCTCCCCCTTTCTAGTTTTTACCCTTCCATCCTCAGTGTTTGGAAGCCATTTATCCTTCCAGATATATGTAGATTTACCATCACCTACCTGCTTCCTTAGCCCCACTTCTAACAGATTTCTAGCCTGCATCAAACTCTTCCAACACCATGAATCAGCCCCTTCACTCTTTGTCCTCCAGATGGATCGTCCTTTAAAATATCTGGCCCTCATAATCTTGCTCATCAGCAAGTTTGGCTTTGTCAAAATTCTCCACAGCTGCTTTGCCAACAGAGCCAAGTTAAATTCATGCAATTTCCTAACACCCAGCCCCCCTACTGCTTTAACCTCAGTTAGCTTCCCCCAACTCAACCAATGAATCATATTCTCATAATCCTTCTGTCCCCACCAATACCTTGCCATCTCAGAACATATTTTCTTGCACAAAGTCTTTGGCAGCAAACAGGCAGACATCACATAGGTAGGCAATGCCATGATCACAGCCTTCAGTAGTACTTCTTTTCCAGTTGGGCTCAACAGTTTCTCCTTCCACCCCTTCAGCCTAGCTATTTTTTTTTGCCTTATAAAGTCAAAAACTTGTCTCTTAAACCTCCCAATGACCAAAGGCAGTCCAAGGTACTTGCTTTGCACCACCCACCTCATTCCATGCAATTCCCTCATTACCTCATCTATCTGCCTATGGCCCACGTTCCCACTGAATAGCAATAATGACTTTTCCATATTGATTAGTTGACCCGAAGTTTCTTTGTATACCTCTAATATTCTCCTCAATTTGCATGTCTCTTTTCTATTTGCCTTGCAGAGAATGAGTGAATCGTCTGCAAAAAAAAAAAGTGAGATAATCTGGGGGACCCCCTAGCCACCCTCATTCCTATTAACAGGCCTTGTGAGTTAGCTTGTCTAATCAAATAAGACAGTCTCTCAGCACAGATCAGAAACAAAAAAGGGGACAAGGGGTCCCCTTGTCGCAAACCCCTGGTAGGCTTGATAAAACCCTTTTTTTTCCCATTAATATTCACAGAATAAGTGACACTAGTTACACAGTTCATGATCCATTGAATCCACTTTGGACAGAAGCCCATTTTCTGCATCATTTTTGCCGGAAACACCCATCTATTCTGTCATAAGCCTTGGACATGTCTAATTTGATAGCCATATAGCCATTCCTCCAAGTTCTCTTATTTTTTAAAAAATGGACACATTCATGAGCAATAGGGACATTGTCTAATATCTGTCTATCAGGAACAAAGGCAGACTGGGACTCACTAATACAGATATTCAGCACACTCTTAAACCTGCTAGTCAACACTTTAGAGATGATCTTATAGAGGACATTACACAGACTGATAGGTCTATACTCAATGATAGAAATGGGAGACTCAGTTTTTGGGATGAGGCTTATCAAGGTCTTATTAATGGATTTTAGAAGGTGACCAGAGCAGAAAAAGCTTTGCACAGCATTCACTATATCAGATTTAACTATTTGCCAAAATTTTTGGAAAAAGTAAGGAGGCATACCATCTGGTCCTGGGGACTTGTTTGGTTGCATGGAGAAGACAGCCTGTCTGATTTTCTGCTCTATAACAGGCTTGGTCAGCGTCCTTTTCATCTCTGAGGTGATTGTCTGTGGCACGCCCTGTAGAATTTCTACAAAATCCACTGGATTTCCTGGGGTGAAAATCTCCTGAAAATAATCTATAATCTCCTTACTAGATTCCTCCACATTCTCACACTATTCCCCACTCCTTTTCTGCAACACACTTATTCTATTCTGTTTCCTTCTACCAGCAACAGTTGCATGAAAGAAGCTTGTGTTTCTATCACCTTTCTTTAACCATTTTACCCTTGCATTTTGGCACCAGTATAACTCTTCTCTTTTATAAGCATCAGTCAGCCTCCTTTTAAGTCCTGCTAGCTTGATCTTGTATCCACTAGGCTTGTTCTCCTTAACCTCCTTTATCTCCCCTTTAATCTGCTCAATCAGTTTCTTTGAGTTCCAATGACTCCCTTTACTCCAATTTAACAGATCCATTTTCACTCTCTTAATCTTACATTTTACCTTATACAATCTAGATCCCTGTTCTTCCTTACCCCAGGCTTTCCCAACAACCTCCCTTATATCCTCTTACAATAGCCATCTCCTGTCAAACATGAACCTTCTCTTTTATTTCCTCTCCCCAGGCCTTGTGTCCAAGAGCAGCATACAATGGTCAGAAGTCTCAGTTTCTATATGCCTTATCAAATCTCTCAATCCAGCTTCTAGTACCCAGAA